CATCCAAAACTTGGAGAATTTGAACTACTGCAGAGAGGTGAAAAAGAGAAACTGCCAAGAAAGAGAAAACCAATGACATCATTATTTCACGTGGCATTTTCAGGTGACAATGGCAGCACACCTGGATGTACTGTGGAAGACAGCATGGGCCAATTTAAATTTCAGTTTATTACCAAGTCAGAGCAGTAAGGCCAAGTGTTTGGCCTGGCTTCTCTTCCCTGTGGTCCCAAGCCCTGCTTTGGTCACAGGGTAAGTTGGTTGATGAGACCCTTCCCCCAGCTGTGAGGTAGTGGAGGCTCATGTAGAACATCCTGCAAACGGCTTCTGATAAAACTTGCTCAGCCCATTTGCTGATATGAAATGCCAATAAGTATTTCATAGTTTGTGTGAACATACTGGTAGGAGAGTGAGCAGCAAACAACTTCCAGAGACCAAAGGCAGGCGTTTAGGATACGTTGAATCCTCTGAATATCCAATTAGCATGAGCTTCTTCTATTTCCTTTTGCCATAATCATTCCAAACAAGGTTGCATATTTCTAACTCTAGAGACAGAATGAAAAAGACAAAAGTGCTTGGAAATAAAGAAAGCTGAGCATAAATGAGTGATCTACAGGTTACAAAAAAATAAAATAAAATAAAAAAATCAGACAACCAGACATCAGTCGCAGCATTTAGCACAACAAAAGCATATCTGAGAGACTGTAATATTCTAGCCTCACTGCAATTAAAAATCCAAAGCTCAACCACTGTTACTGAACATAACCAATGTGTGAACATACATCTCCTGCAAGTGAGGACCAGTCTTAACTTCTGGCCATACACAGTGCACCTCTTGGCCTTGCTGAACTACCTGTGACCCCATTACCTGCTGGCTCCGTAGGCTGTGCCACAGCACAGAGGAGCTTTCCAAAGCAAGAACAAGCATGCTCAGCATATCCCTCCTTTTTCTCTCCACCAGCTGTGCCGGGATACCAATGCCACCTTCCAACTCCAAGCTGACAGGGAAGGAATGCCCCCAGACAGACACGGAGCGCTGTGCCTGCTTCTGCTAGGCACTACACTCTAACTCCCGCAGCAGCCCTGATCGCAGAGGGTACCAAAGGGATTTTTAAACAAATTCCTCATTCCTCCACGTATCCTAGCAACACCTCTCCGAGGTTACAGATGCAATGCCTTGCCCACCTGTTGTCTGGGAAGCCTGAGGCAAACTACAGATTGCTTTCTTGCCAGCTCACCCAATAGTAGGAAGCCACAGAGACCAAAGGATGCACCAGCACAACCAGGGCTCACCCACTCAGGCTGGGAGTCACACAGGCACTGGCACCTCAGCAGTGACTCACCAATGTGCAATACGTGTGTGGAACCAAGGAAAGGTGACAGAAAGGGAACGGCCCTAGCCTCTGCTGCAGGAACACTGGGATGCAGTCACAGTGCTGACGAGCTCAGCCTATTTACAGCGGTCACTTTTTGTACACAAAGATGTTCCCTGCCCTGGGATTTTCCTGCTGGTCAAATGAGATGTCTTTTCTTAGAGCATCACCAACCAAATCCTTTGGGCTGTAATATGCATCTGCCACTAAAACCTCAGTTATTTAAATTCATCATTTATCTCCATTTATGCAAAGCGGGCAGATAAGAAATTACAGATGTCGCTGCTTTTCTGTGCTATCAAACTAATCACCGCTAACTCTGCTTTATTCTCATATATTTAAGAAATTCCAGAGTTGCATGGACACACACAGGGGAAACTATTACCAAGGCCAATAGGGGAGATGAGCTGATCCCTGCTTATTCAAAGATAGAGCATTTGCTGTAGATCTCTGTTACTCATCTTCACTCAGAGGAAAATATGGGATACTTCATAAGTGGTTCTGGCTTGTGAGTTATCCCTCTTTCCCAGCTCACGAAGATAAATGCCATAATGAAATGCAGCCATCAGGTATTCTCTATATTTGGAGTACTCAAAGTGTGAACAATGATTATGCCCTTTCATTGCATAAGTTAAGGTTGACTGCCTAGCTACATGGGAGAGACAGGAATGATTTGCACTAGCTCATACGAAGTAAATGGAAAAAGGTGGCATTCCTTCTCCCTCAGCATCACTTATTCTGCTAATCTCAGGCTGAATAATACATTCAGTGTGTCAAACCTGCACTTTATTTTAACGCTGCTTGGCAGCTGAATCTGCAAGCTGAGATGAGTCCAGCTGAGGTGGCAGCAGCCACTTAGTTGGTTCAATGTCTGTTTGTTTTTGACACTTTTGTGGTATCACTGACTACATGTTTATAGTAAGTGAGAAACAGATTTTTACAGGCCAAGCTTTCTGCAAGTGCCACATCAATTCTGGGGCCCGCTCCTGACCTGTGCTACAGTACCACAACTCCCTCTCGGGCTGACAGACATCATGAGTGAGAACAGGATTGTGTTTTCCGTGTCAGATAAAACATACTGCCATCACAGTTGTCTTTTTTTTTTTTTTTTTTGGCGGGGGGGGGGGGGGGGGCAAAATCAAGCATTTAAATTTAAAGATGAAATGTAAGTACGTCAGAAATATCTGACAATAAAAACACAGCTGTTAACAACACACTAAAAATAATGCAATGGTACATCACAGGGGAATGAAATCCTGATTAAGACCCGGGACGACCAGCAGGTGATAACACTCAGCATTCCATCATTCCTGGCCAATACCTTCAAATCTGTAGTGGACTAGAAGCTGGATGGATGCAAGCTCCTGGGAACTGCTTAACCTTAAATTCAAGGCAAATCACTGGTTGTTTCTAATGTAAACAAGGAGCAGTTGGCAGACACCGGGAAGACCCAGACACAGCTCATCTATTGTGGCCTGGTGCCATTTGGGCTGCTGCAAACACCACTTGTTTTTATGCAGCTATTAAGGCTAAGGATGTGTTAGGAAAATGAATGAAGTAGTAATAGCTCCAGGGAGAGTATCTGCATCAAGAAGCAGGTTGTGGGTTAAAACAGTCAGGTGCATCTTAACCAGTACAGAAAATGGTCAAAGAACAGCTGCTGGAGGGACTCGTGAGGCCCTGGCACGTGCTATCTAAAAAATACTAAGAGCATTTTTTAAGCACATACTGGCTCATATTCAGCACTCAGAAGCTATTTTAAGCACTCAGTGGAGACAAGCTAGTGTTATTAGGCACTTCCAAGAGACAATACATTTTGAGCCAAATAATCCCATCAGAGGGCTTTCTAAACACCACCTACATTAGATGAAGCGACTGTGGTGATCTCCTGTGAGGAAAGAGTCAAAGACTGAGCTAAGGCAGGCTTTCTCACAGCAGTTGAGAAGACAGGCTAGCTTTTCACTGGACAGTCTTGGTGCTATCACAAAAAAGCAGCGTCCAGAGAGAAGCTCTGGAAACAGGCACAGGGCCGCTGGTTCAAGAACAAAGTCTTGAGCCAAGGCCTGCAAGATAAGTTTATTCACATTACCAAGGATCAAAGTAACGGATAAATAATCACTGAAAACACAACCCTCACTTCCTGGCAGAACAACAGCCTCCAACCCCAAAGGAAAGGGTTACCACCCTTCTCTGGCCTTGGCCTTTCTGTCTCAGATTTAACTGGACTAATGTATTTTACAAAGCCTCTTGAGACCCACAGACAATAAGAGGTCTATGAAGTAGAAAATTCTATTTGTGCATGATGCTACAGCTCAGTGTTATGCGAGAGCATAGATAGCCACAATGAACATCCTAAATCAGAAGGATGGGGAAAAACTTGAAACAGAATAGGAGAAAATTGGATTATGAGAGTAGTAGAGAGAAGCATAGTAGGAATGGCAGGGATTTAGAGACCTTGGGAAGCACTCTGGTATCAGCGTGATGGCCTCGGTAAACTGTTAACAGTCTGACTGGCAGAAAGAACTTGCTCTGAAAGCCTGACAAAACTGTGCTCTACTCCATAAAACAGCTGAAGTCTCCTTCACTGTACTGTTTTTGAAAGCATCACCATACAACTCAGAGAGACACGAACAGGGAACTGCAGGTACTTGTGTACCAGTGCCTACAGAGACAAAAAAAGTGAAGAGAGAAGGGTGCCTAAGCATAGTTCACCAAGTTCCCACCTCTCTGTACAAGCTTTACACCCAGCTCAGGTCAGTGATTTGCTCTCAACATTTAGAGACTCACAGAAATAAGGCCATTTCACAAACATCATAGCAAATGTCCTCCCTTTGTAAGGAACCAAATATAAATAAAATACTTTCAGTGAATTCCTTTAAAAACATCTGCCACTGCCTGCACTTCATTAAGTTGCTGTCCAACATTATACAGTATCATACTTAGCCAACTTTTAAGCTCCCAAACCATTTGCTACAGACTCTCAGTTGGGAGAAAAGAAATACTGACATACCCTGCATCATTACCTAACCATGAATTCACATGAATATAAAAACCATCGACTTAGCTTACCTTTTGCTCAAAGAAGAAATATTTTTTCACTATATACAATAAACCTTTTCTCTTTGAAAAGGAAGTTCTAAAATGAAATACACCAAAGACCCAGTGACCCTCCCACCCTTCCCTCCCCGCACAACTACCAGCACATCAGCAACAGTGACTCAGACAGAAGCAAGAGCAGAAGGAAAGCTCAAGCTAAGCTACTCGGACAGAAAATATTTAACACCTAAAACAACTTGCATGCAGTAACCAAGGGCCACTGGGAAACAGCGCTCTTGAAAGCTAAGGAAAAAGGTCATCTTCAACAGTACTTTTTTGTTTTAAATACGCTCTTGCTATGAATCCCATAAGCAGCCTTTGACCCCAGAAGAGCTCAGTTGTGAACCAGAAAGGAAATGAAGTACCAAAGAGCCTTTCAAACAATTCATAGCTGCCATTGTCTGACGGTGCCTCTGCTGTATGCACAATGCTAATGACTGCGAGCTGTGATGCACACATTCAACAAACAACAAGCGGTTATTTTTCTGAGTTGTTTCCCCCAAGTAATCCACCTTATTTACCAACTTCACTTACCTGTCAAGTTCTTCAAGCCAAGTTCCCTGAGTCCAAAATTACCATCCTTCCTGTAGTTAAGGAATATTGCCAGAGCGTATCGGTCTTCATAGAGCTTGGTCCCACGAACGATGCGCAGGTTCTCCAGGGGCAGGTATTCAAACTGATTCAAAGCCACCAAAACATAGCCTGTGACTTCTCTGATAGACTGAAAGACGAAAACGAAATGAATAGATTAGGAGTAGTCCATTTACAATTGTTCTGAATCTGTCACACATCAGATGCTTTAACATGAGATCGGGTACAACACAAATTTAAGCTTCAACTTCTTTAATTTAACCATATTTCTGTATCAGTGTAACTGAGATTATTAGCGATACTAGAAAGCACCTTTCCACTCTATAGGGTGAGGCTGAAGGTCACAACATATTGTGAGAGAGAGACCACTGAAAGAGCTCACCATCAAGTAGGAATGGATGACAGAAATGGAGAGCACATTTGGAAGAGTAAAACGAAGGCCATAAGCAATATCACCAACTTATACTGCTAAATAAATGAGATAAACCATTCGGTATTTGCACAGATTCAACCTCAAGTCTCATTCTGAAGTGCTGGAACCACACATATTCCAGATTTTTAGCAAAAGTGGTATAAAACTATTACCAAAATGACTGCTGCTCATCCAGGTCAGCTGAAAACTTTGTTTACTTTAGATGAGCTATGCAGTAACTCTCCTCTCACACCCAAGAATTAGTTGGCTGGGTTGAAAAGGAACAGACAAACAAACCCCCAAGCCAAACAAACCAGAAATACTTTTTTAAAATCTAAAAGGTTAACAAGGCGTTCTCGAAAAGTGCCATCTTAGCAGTCAATAGAGCCTTACTGTCCTCAACAGGAGAGGAGGCAGTCTGAAGAATGCTCCTGCCCAGAGCTGCTCCCAGAAACACAACTCCTGTGCTGGAAAGGTTCCCTGAATACAGTTTTCAAATCTCACCTAATTCTGTAACTGCATCAGCCTGTAAGCACTCCACATGCGTACGTTTGTATGAGCATGTATATTTAATGGGCAAAAATTTACAACCACTTGTCTGCTTAAGTGGATACAAGCTTTTTTTTTTTTTTTCTTCCCTTTGGCAAAGTCAATACCTTAAACAATACATAATAAGAAAAATTTAGCTTAAAATAGCATGCCCAAACTATAATGAACATGACAGGAACTCCAGTCAATGCCATAATACAAAAACTACACAGGCAAACAATAAGAGGCACTGAATTATATGTGCCGAGCACGTATGGTTAGCAAAGAAAGAGAAAACAGATTCACAGAACAAAGGACAGGCTTTTCTTGTGCTGCATCAGCACTGCTGCCATGATTTCACCTGTAAGCATGCAAGAACCTTTTTATTATGTTTATACAGGTTCATAAGTTTATTGCCAAGTGCAGCAGTATATATAATGAAAGATATATTTACACCATGGCAGTAGCTGTTCTTCTGAAGTCTGATGTCTCTACAGCTGAAGCTGCTCAAAAATCTCTGGAGCTATTTCAAGAGTCACTTGGCATCTAAGCAGAGCACAGTGTCATTACAGGACTTTGATGAGAACCCAGTGACTTCAGCTACGTTGAGATGCACGGTTCAGTAGCTCAATATTAAATGCAGAGCTGCATTATACCCTGGGACACTGATTCTATTATCATCAGAGGCTTTCCAGCACTTTCATGATAGCTCTCTGCTTTTAGACATCTCAGCTTAGTCAATTTGGTCAGGAATTTCATTTTCATTGTACGCAGAAATTTCCTTAAGCTGGCTGTTCTGGATTCTCACTGGTACAAAGGAAATATTGAAATTATAATCAAATTTTCTCCACTCATGTTCCAAGGATACTATAATCATTCTAATTAATTTAAATGGACACTTTAAACTTGGAATGGAGTCGAGAAAACATTAAAAGCAGTTCTAAAACTGCATCTGACCAAGTCCTCCCTGCCAGCTTTTGTCACTTTCAGCCACATTTTCTATTTTTAGAGCCCATCTTATTCCTTCCATAGAGCAAAGCACACCCGAGATGGCCCTAGTTCAGCATGGCACTGCTAACTCGCGCACTACACGCACATACACTCACCAGAAACTTCATTTCCAAAGTTCAAAAGAAAAGAAGAAGAAGAAGAAAAGGAAATAATAAAGGATGAAGTTTTGTTGATACTGATAGCCTGAGAGGCCATACAGACTCTCAGAGCCTCACACCAGAAAGGACCATCCAACCCTACCTTCTCCCCTGCAACTCATGCTGAGCTTAGGCGTGATTTGAACTTCCCAACCTGTGTATACAAGGCTGAACACCGTGCTGCTTCACCTATCCTAATACTCTCTCACCTGGGTAAGATTCATGTGTCCCACTAGGAAGGTATAACAACTCCTTCCACACCAAAGAAGCCAGGAAATCCAGCACGTCCTGAAATACCTCACACCTTGCTGCAGCCCAGCCCCGCTCCAGCAGAGCATGTAGAGCACCTCAGGAACCGCCCCAAAATGGTGGCTACCACGCCTCTAAAATGGCGGCTGCTGTGCCTCTAAAATGGCGGCCGCTGCGCCTTTGGGCCATGCCCAAGTGGCAGGTGTCACATTTCAAGAACTGCCACAAAATGGCGGCCACTGCACCTCAAGCGCTGCTCAAGATGGCAGAAGCAGTTCTTCACGATCTGCGTCGGCGTGGCTGACATGGTACCTTAAGGGTTTTCATAGGTCAGAAAACCACCACAAAATGGCAGAAGCTAGGCCTCACAGTCTACCCCAACATGGTAAACACCACATCTCAGGGTTGGCCCCAAAATGACAGCCACTGCACCTCAGGAGCCACCCCAACATGGCAGCCACCACGCTTCAAGGGCTGCCTAAGATGGCGCCGTCGCACCCCTCAGCTGGGCCACAGTTGCATGCAAACAAGCACTCAGCAAACAGATTGCTCAGGGGACAGGAGCAAAACAGCTTTTTGGTGCGAGCGCTGAATATCACCATCTGGAATTTGGGTCCTCCAACCAGGGACAGCACGGCTCCGTTCAAGGACAATTTCTTTTGCACACTGTGTTTCATTTTGTATAACCAAGATGTTATAATCACAATATAATTGTGTATAATCAATAGATATCAAGATGTTATAATCGCAATATAATCAAGAGAGTAAGGCAAAGCAGACAACGACCACAAAAGAGAATATGTGGAAGAGCTTACCCTTGGGTTGAGCTCACCAGAAGACACCAAAAGAGGGGATCTCCAGAAGAGATCCTTCTCCTCTGGTAGCCAGCTCTTAAATAGGACCAGGAGGGGTGGAACCTGGCTCCACCCCTTCCAGCAGCACAGGTGAATTGCCTTCACCTGTGCTCCTCTGGCTGACTCATGGCTCACCTCAGGTGATCAATCAGAGGTTCAGGCTGTGACTCAGCAGTTCCCATACACATTTTCAACATTACATACGCAGAAGGCGAGCAGAGAAACCAGTCCTCAAAATGGCCTGCGCAAGGATCTTTTCTGAGGTTCCTTTCTAGTGGATGAGCTGTGCAAAGGAACTTCAGACAACCTGCTCCCTTGCAAGGTAAATCCCAGGCGTGTTAGTTACAACTCATACTAGCTGAGCACAGGCAAAGCATTTTAAGCTCCCAACAGCCAGAGTTATCCTGCTAGCAGGGAGCAAAAGATGTGAATGTTTCCAGCGATCTTAAATTGCCCTCTGGTTCAGTCAAATGAACCTGAGTGAAACGCAGCAAAATACCAATGAAAACTTCGTTGTTCCGCCCAGGAACGCGGGTCAGTGCCTGGTGGAGGAACCTGGGGCTGTTCATAAGCAGTGCAGTGTCCTCTTAACATCCACTAGGGAGGCTCTGTAGGCTTTTCCACCAAGAGAAATAGAAAGGGTGGAGAACTGCAAATGAGATATGCATTGGGAAGAAGCCAAGGGCCCACTTTTAACGCCAACTGTTGCAAGCACAGTGAGCTCTGTTTTGAGGGAATATCCATTTCAGGACGCACCGGCAAGGCTCCTCGTGCTTCAGCTGCCAGCAGAAAGCAGACATCTGCTGAGCCGGGTCCAAGGAGCTCCAGCGACCCTGCAACGTGGCCCACATGTTTTGTCATGATATGTGAAATCCCAAAAAAGTCAGACTTCCAAGTGACACAAAGGGGAAAGTATTTCCTAAGTGCATAGTCCTTTTTTTTTTTCCCATGTCAGTTAAGGTCAGTGTGCCACAGTGAAGTCAGGAGCTCAACTACCATTAACAGTTTCCACCATGTCATCTGTTTCAGAAGCTTTTCGTGTCTCAAGTTAACCTGAAAAGCACATTTCACATTTTCCTTTTTGATCAATTAAAAGCTAAGCATTCATATCACTTAGAGCAAAACCAAACTGGATAAAGTTGCTTCCTGTTTTTATTACAAGTACGTCAATGGTGCTCTTAAGGGGAATGCTGGTGAAACTTTAGACAAGTTCTCAGGGCAGTCGTAATATTCACCTTTATGAAAGGCAGCCAAGCATGCTAGTGAGTGCACTGATCATCTAAAATGCCGTCGATTCATTTTCATTATTTTTTGCATACATTTTCACTGATGCAATGCCAATGCACTGCGTCTTCCACTGTGACAATTTAAAAATTAACATTTGCTAAATTAGCACAAAGTGGTCTCTAAGCAGCTACAGCATTTATGGTGATAACTCTAAGGGAAACAATAATATCCATGCTGTAGCCATGTGGAAATCGTCAGCCTGGTGCACTTTATAAAGCTCAATTAGCTGTTGCATGCGTTGCTCATTGACGATTATGAATTCTTAATGGCAAGATAAACTGAGATTTTCAAAAGTTCAGGTGACATGTTGCACTGGATTTTGGCATGTGGCTGCTGCAAGCTTCTTTTAAAGCCCCATTCGCAACCACAAGAAATATTTAGCACGTACTGATATTTCTCATGTCTAAGAGGATGCTTCACTTTGAGGCAATGTCAAAACTGACACGGAGCACACATGTCAGGAATGCTGTTCCAGAACAAGCTCGTGTCTTGTCTCCTTCCACACCAAGTATTCTTCAATTACGTCAACATTCATTAAATTGTGATGTTAAGCCCCTCTGAGCACCACCAGTTTTTAGATATGAGGTGCAAGCTTCGGTGAAAATCCCTCAAGTTTGAGCGCACTGACGAATATCAGAACACAGATTGTGAA